AAAATATATATATATTTTTTTTTTATTTCTTAAAATAAGTTTTTAGTTACGAAACTCTTAAAGTCATTCCGCATAGATCCACAGTTTTTGTTTTTACAATATTCTCAGCAAAAATAGTAAAAAATGTCTGCAGATTCTGTCTGGCCCTAGACATGCAATAATAAATCAAATGCAGACAATTGCAAGCTTGCATTACAAGCCAGAAGTCACACCTTAATCATAAAACAATAAACAAGCAGAATGTTACAAATTACATATAAGTGACAGTGATTTGAGCTATATTTAAGTTGTTTTGATGGGTGATACGTAAATAAAGTTGACTTGTGTGAATTGTGTAAAAGTTACAGTATGTAGTTTCAAGTGATCAAAAGCCTTGCATCGTGCTTTAATCGTATCATGTAATTCTGCTCTAAAATTATTCTGCTCATCCCACCCACCCCGAGTGTGTAACGTCATTATTTACTCTTTCCTAAAGCTGAGAGTTCAGTTTCAGCGGAAGTGTATGACCGCTGGCTCTCTTCCTTACATGCAGATTCACAAACAAACACTGGCTGCTCCAGGTGCGGTCCTGACCATCTGCGTCTGCCTCTAATCAGCACATTAGCTGTTGTGTGTCTGTGCCTCTGCTGGGCACACGAGGAAGAGCACATGAGCACCTGTCACAGGGCTATGAACAGCACAGCAAACAAACACCACCGCTAATCATCAGGGGAATGTGGCCACCCGTCACTTCAGTACTGTATACACACCAGATCATAACCCATTCTGCATGCGATGTCTGTTTCAAACACTGCATATATCTCAGCCCTTATGAGGCTCTGCTGTGTATACACTAGAGTCCTTTTAACAACATGTAACATCCACAGCATATACAGTACAAATCATGCTGAGAATAACAATCACTACAAGGTGACAAAACACAACCTTTGTGCATTATATCTGCAAATCTGTCGTCCCTGTGTTTTGCACTATTCTGTACTTTTTAGAAATAAAAATTCTTCATGGGGATTGCTGGTTTCATCAAGAACTTTTAATATACGTTTTTAAAAGATATATCCAGATTGCCACTCTTCAACAGGTTCTTATTAATAGAAAAGACAGCTTTGAGTATGTTGCTACAAATGACTAAAACCAAAAGCATTTCCAGGGTTTCTGCAGATAAATTTAAGACATTTTGAGACATTTTTTAGACAACAACTAATGAAATTTTAGACTTATACAGGGCTAAATGCTAAGGATTTTTTTTCCCCAAATATCCCAGTTAGAAAAGATTTGCACTAGCTCTGTCAAAAAAGAATAAAATTGAATACATTTAATAACACGATAATCATATATATATATATATATATATATATATATATATATATATATATATATATATATATATATATATATATATATATATATAATTCTTTTTATTTATTTTTTTTCAAGTACATCCATTTACTAACCCTATAACCCTTACCAAGAATAGAACAAAACATAGCTCTCAATTACTATACAATAATAATAATTTAATAATAATAAAACACATATGGGTCAGGTCAGGATCCTCAGCAGTAAATTAATGAAGACATTTAAGCAGATTTTGTTTTTAAATAAAAAGTTTAAAGTTTTATTAAGATGGATTGTTGGTGATTGTGTGGGTTTTAATGGCCAGATTGGGTAGCTATATGTGAACAAAGGGAAATGAAGACCTGTTAAAAGAGATTTAAGACCTACAACAAAACATTTCAGTAGATTTAAGACATTGTTAGGTCTAAAATTGAGCTTTTGAGATTTAAGACTTTTTAAGACCCTGCGAATACTCTGAATACTCTGAATACTCTTTTATAAACACTTTTTGGTTCTTTGGCATCTTTATTAGTGTTTAGTGTTTGGTAAGTTACTTCAAAAAAATAATTTTCTACACTGTAAAAAAAAAAGAACTGTTGTCTTACATGTTTAAGCTGAATCAAATTAACCTTATGAGTTCATTGAACTTGTATAACTTAAAACAGCTTGTGTAACTTTTATAATTAAGTTAGAACATGATTAACTTAGTTAAATAATTTACAGTGAACTAAAAACATATGTTGTCATGAATAATTGATCATATCATTTTTTACAGTGTACTAATTACATAACTGAATCATTTTCTAATTAATTTGTCTAAAATGTAATCTAATATCTCAATGAGTAATTGAATTATTTGACTCAATACAACTTAAAATGTTAAAGCATACAGAATACAAATAATTATTTCAATTTGGAAGGGCATATTAGCTTTATAAAAAAAGCAACACTTAATAAATTGTAAACGTGTATCAAACCCTGAAATGTTTCATAGTAGTAATGACAAAATATTTCATACATATATTATATATTGACATTCATTTCCTACTCAATTCTTTGTTTCTTAATAATGTGATCATCTGACAAATCTAAAATTCTTTAGCAGAAAAAAGTCAAGGTATTCTGCAAATATTCTTGAAGATTAAAAAAGTCTCTTAATGCCATCTGAAGTTTTCTACTACAATTAGCTTTTTTTAGCCTCCTGTGTTGATGTTCAGTTCTTTCATTTTAAATGCAATGAAAAGAATTTATTCGTCACTATAAAAGTGAAATTACTGAGCCTACACATACTCTTCATTTGTATAACAAAAATAACTCAATTTAAAATTACTCTGCTTCTCTGAACTGATTTATACAAAACAATGTATGCAGTATTTTAAGCAAGTGTATTTTAAGTGTTAGTGTAAATAAATGACCTAAAAATTAAACCTTTTTGAGGGGAAAAGTACATAGAATTACAAGAACAAGTTTCTTTGTTTCTAATTACACCCAACACTTATTTATAATAGAAAATCAACTTAGAGAATACCTCATGAGATTGTTTAAAATGGGGTTTGAGTTTTGTCATTTACTTTAACCTTCGCTTGTTCAAAACCTATTTGAGTTTGTTCTTCTGGTGAACACAAAGGAAGATATTTTGAAAAAAGTTCATATTTCTTTTTCTACTGAGGAAGTCGATGCGTTTCAGCAACCAACATTCCTCAAATTATCTTCTTTTGCCTTTAACAGAACTCATTCATTCATTTTCCTTTAGCTTAGCCCATTATTCATAAGGGGTCACCAAAGTGGAATGAACCACCATCTCATCCAGCATATGTTTTGCACAGCAGATGCCCTTCCAGCTGCAACCCATCACTGGGAAACATCCATACAAACACATTCACTCACATACACTACGGACAGTTTAGTTCATCCAATTCACCTATAGGGCATGTCTTTCGACTCTGGGGGAAATCAGAGCACCCGGAGGAAACCCACGAGAACATGGGGAGAACATGCAAACTCCAAACTGAAATGCCAACTGACCCAGACGGGACTCGAACCAGCGACTTCTTGCTGTAAGGGGACAGTGCTAACCACTGAGCCACCATGTCGCACTGAAAAGAAGCTGATAAAATTGTAAAACTCCACGAGGAAGAATAAATGATGAGATGATTTTCATTTTTGGGTGAACTGTACCTTTAATATAGTGTTATTTCTACCAAAACTGAACAGTGACAATTATGGCGGTTGATATGTCAACAGGAAATTTTCAGGTCAGGTTGTAATCTGTTAGCTGCAGAGATACGCTAACTGTAAACTTCTGCTGACAATACTCAAGCATTCTGTGATGTATTTCGTCTGTGTTCGGGTCATAATGACAGTGTTAATGTGTTGCAAATGTTCCATCCGAAGATGAATCTGACAAGAAGTGCTGAGGTACTCGAGCGCCCCGTTGCTATGGTGAAGAGAGTTTCTGATTGTGAGGATTTATTGACTGCTAAGATGTTTTGTGCTCATTAAAGCTTCATTTCATTTTCAGAGCAAGAGAAATACAGCACATAATATTCAATAGTAACATACTTTAGCAATAGTAACCCTTTAATGTCCACTCTACGAAAAATGAATTGACCCCTTGGGTTCAGTTGTGTTCCTGATGACAATCTAAGCAAATCTCCAGTTTATTTTATTTTCTCATCACTCATTTTCTTTTCGGCTTAGTCTCTTTATCAATCAGGGGTCGCCACAGTGGAATGAACCGCCAACGTATCCAGCATATGTTTTATGCAGCGAATGCCCTTCCAGATGCAACCCATTACTTGGAAAAACCCATACACTCTCATTCACACGCATACACTACGGACAGTTTAGCTTACCCAATTCACCTGTACTACATGGGAAAATCGGAGCACCTGGAGAAAACCCATGCCAACATGGGGAGAACATACAAACTCCACACAGATATGCCCACTGACTCAGCAACCTTCTTGCTGTGAGGCAACAGCGCTACCCACTGCTCCACCACACCACCTTTATTTATTTATTTTTTAAATTATAGTCTATGGACAAAAGATCAACCAGACAGCTACTGTATGATGGCTGTTAAAGGGTTAAAAAATCTATGTATCCCTTTATAGGGCACTCATTGAAATACTCTTCAGGAAAAACCTGGAAGTGATACACACTTGCAAACATATATGTATGTGTTTTTGTAAGTGTGTGTGTGTGTGTGTGTGTGTGTGTGTGTAAACCACTTATAACTTTGTCCAGATCGACAGGGGTGGATCGTTTTGCTGTGGTGATGCCTGATAATGAAAGGATTGACCCAAAGGAAAGCTTTAGAACTCTTCGTTTTTACTTTCACTTTCTCTGGTCTCTGTCTTATTTTTTTTCTCCCAGGAGCTCCAGACGTCCTGTTCCTCACTCATCAGACCTTTCCTTAATGTAATTTACCTAAAACACAGATTATGTACATAAGAACTGGTCAGTGGCCGGGAAGCATTGTCTCTTGATTGAGTTAACTTGAGATCTGCATATTTAACTGAGCACTAATAAACAGCTCTTAAGTTTAAATCTTCTTTTACAGTAACAGAAAATCCCTTCCCTGACAGGAATGTTCACATAAACACTGAGACTCTTGTTATGTTGTTTTGTTCATCGTTCTCTGTTTTTCTGTGTGTGTGCAGCAGAGCTCCAGCGTGAGGGAAGCATTGAGACTCTCAGCAACAGCTCGGGCTCCACCAGCGGCAGTATTCCTAGAAACTTTGAGGGCTACCGATCACCTCTGCCCACCAACGAAAGCCAGCCCCTCAGCCTGTACCCCACAGCATTCCCCTGAGCCAACCCAAGCCTGCAGACCATCTCCACGATTTCCCACCATCCGGTATATTGCTTTAATGAGCCCGGGCATGCAGGAAGAGCAGCTCAACCTGAATATCCTTTATCAGTCGTTGAAGTATCCTCCACCTGAGTGTGTGTATGTGTGTGTGTTAAGCTTGACAGGACGTGTGCGAGAGAAATTCACACTTTTCTCAAAGATGTGTCATATTATCAATAATATCAATGGAACTTCCAGTGCGAGTGTGTGATGGAGAGAGAGAAAGAGAGTGTGTTCTTTAGATATGAGTCTTGATTACCTCTGTTATTGAGTTCTAAGCGTGATGCTGATTATTATTATAATTCTGAAAATAGTGTTTGATTATGTTTTAGTAGACGTACCGTAGTTTGAATTGACTTTTATAAGTAGTCAAAATTGATTGTTTACCATTTAGTCTTGCATTACACTGTAGTGTTGATAATTCTGCACATTATTTTCTGTATATTTGTTTAGGTTTTTTTTAAATAAGTGTTTTAAACATCATCTGTTTCGTCAACCCAGTCACACGGGAAAATTTGACTACAGCTATGGTGGAAAAATCAAGAGAGTACTTGAAAATTCTTAATTCTTGAATTGACAGTTTAGTTATGCTTTAGAGTAAAATCGAAGTGTCATTATTATATTATTATTATTATTATTATGTAAGATAACAAAATTGAGTAATGTTAAATGTCTAATGTAACTTTTTCGAATGCAAATGTTGCCATTTAGACAATTTTTGCATGTAATAACAGAAAAAATTGCCTGTTTTTTTTTTTAAGACTTATTTGCATTCATATTCAGTCAACACAATAGCAAGATTTGACCAGTTCAAGAGATCTTTCACTCAAAAATGAAAAGTCTGTCCTCCTCAACTTGTCCGGAACATGTTTCTTTCTTCTGTTGAACAGCAACGGAAGAATGTTGGAAAGCAGCAACCATTAACCCTTTTATTTCCTTCTACTTTTTGTGACACAGGTTGTACTTTTTTTGTAGCAGTTGTCAGTGGCTGCTGCTTTCCAACATTCTTCAGAATATCTTGTCAGCAGAAAAAAAGACGTTTAGAAACACTTGAGTGAGAGCTAATAGCGAGCAAATCTCCATTTTTGGGCGAACCATCCCATTAAAAAAAAGTAAAGTTTGGTGGAATACCCCTGATTTTCATTTGTTATTCTGATCATTCTGGTCATTTATGTTTGAAATGAGTTATCAGACCTTTATATAATAAAACAAATATAAACATTTTACTCAAACTGACTTTTCAAGTAATTTTTTTGTACTTTTTCCATAGCTATGTCTTACATTTTAACATATTAGTGGCTAATTTATATGAAAATGTATGTCTTTTTTAAACACAGACCTAAAACACAATACATATTCATACAAATGAATCACTAATTCACCAAATCATAAATAGTATCTTGGTTTCTAAAAAAAAAATGATTTGATGAATTCCCTGGATTCCACTTTTTTTTTTATATATATATTACAGAAAAATATGTGTTTTCTTTCAGAAGGGATTTTTGTTTATTCATTTTCTCTGTTTGATTTACTTTATTGGATGTGTGTGAGGCTCATCCTCATGATAATTCAATGGAGAATTGCATTATTTAGACGATTTATACCAACAGTCTCAAAGTTAATTCCCGGAGGGCTGCCACTTTGCATAGTTCAACTCCAACCACCTTCAACTCACTCCTGCTTAATAGCCTGTAGTAGTCTGAACACCTTGATCAGTTAGATCAGCCGTGTTTGATCAGGGTTAAAGCAAAACTGTGCAGAGCTGCGGCCCTCCAGGAGTCCAGTTTGAGGCCTATGATTTACACACTACTCCAAATTGTGGAAAATCACCATAATCATCATTATATCATTTTATATTGGCTAATTGAACTCTTTTGTATAGCGCTGAACAACTTGCTTGACCGGATGTAACATTTTCTAGCATAAATAGTAGTTGATCTGATATAAGAAGCATGAATCGGGCTGCTCATCATCAGCTTGTTTGAATGCTGACAGATCAGAGCATGACCGAAGTCTGTGTCGCAGAAAAGAAAAAGCAAACTTAACGGGGATGTTCAGCATTAAAGTTGGCACATGCTTGTATGAATATGACGGGGTTTTGTAATAATACTTTCACAATGTGATCTTCAAATAGGAATTTATGCAAGTGAGTTTAACGAGTCATTTGTGTGTTGCTTAATAGATGCATTCTGACTTTGTCATTCTTTTCTCTTGTTATTAACTTACCTTGCTCTCTCCTGAATATATTTCTTATACTAAAAATAAATGCATTTAAATGATGAGATACAAATCTGGGCCTGCGGCTGTGAATCTCAATCACTGCTTTTATTTGGGGAACTGTTTTTTTATCATCACGAATCTCCCACAGGCTTCAGGCCACAGGATGAGGTTTCCTCCATCTCCATCTCTGCTTTACTGGACGTGCTTGTGTGCGTAAGCTTTTTTTTTTTTTTTTTAATGATGATCAAACCAAAAGGTTTATTTTTGATTAACCAGGCCTTAGATTGGGCAACTTCTGGGGGATTTTTTTGTTGACAAAATCAACAAATCAATACAAATCACAACTTGAAAACTAAATCTGGGTATAACAGTACATCTTTAAAAAAAAGATAACTTTTTAACATTGTCTAAACCTTGTTGAAAGTATGAAAATCAGAAATAGTATTGTAAGTATATTGTTTATGATTTTTTTTTACATTTAAAAAAAATTGTATTCAAATTTTCTTTTTCAAAAATTCATGAAGCCAAAGCAACAAAGCACAAGCACTTGCAACACTGATCTTATGGGTTTTATTCCAACTAAAATTGCAGAGGAAAACTGATGAAACATAAATAACAACATTTACACCTTCAATACAGTGTGCATTTCTTCAGTTAAAAGCAGAGTTGCACAAACAAATCATAAATGCATCATGCAGTGATTATATAAAAAATATACAAAAATAAACTATTCTTGATATAAAAAATCACACACACACACACACACACACACACACACACACACACAACAACAACAAAGCTCATAATGGTCTGTTTCTTATGGAGAAAAAACTTGGATGTAACGATACCAAAATATGAAAACTGCTCTGTGCACAATTAAATGAACAATTTATATTTTAATAATACATAAATAGAATAAATAATAAGTTATAAAATAATAGTTATTTTATAACAGACAAAATCACACCTTTAAGACATTTTAAGAGCTTTCAGGGCCATTATGAATAAAACTACAGATTTATAAAAGGCTTAATTGTAAAGATTTTTACATGCCACATAAAAAAATATATATATACAAACCACACATACTTTCTTTGACAAGCTTTAAAAACTAATAAACTAAATGTACAAGTCTGTCCAGATCAGTGTCTTAACCACATATAAATACAGAAAGAAAACTTACAAATGTTATTGTGAGGAACCGTGTTGTAAACAGAGTTTGGTTAAAGGTTTTATAGAGATGTATTGTTGGTGACTGTATACAGGTGTTGGCCTGATAGAGTAGCTTTACGTGGAATTAAGACCCATTTAAAATGATTTAAGACTTACAATTCGATTCTTAAGCTAATTTAAGACTTTTTAAGGCCTACATTTTTTTTTTTAAATTTAGGACATGTTAAGTAATGACTGCTAAAGTCATTTAAAGAATGACTGTTTTAAATAATGGTTTACACGCACAGCATTGTTGGTTTACAAAAAATAAAAATAAAATAAATGAAACAAACATAATCCTGTTACACTAGTACGCTCGATTTAATTTTATTGTAAAAACAAATCAAAACAAGAAAACATGTTAAATGAGAATCTGAAATATTTTATGGCATACTTCAAAAAAAGAGTATTTAGTGTTCAAAAATGTTTTATTTTGATTAAGTTTTTAAATAAATTGGTCTTACACTTCATATTTTCAGATTTTTCATAATATATGTATTAATTCTAGTACTTTAAACCAACATATCAAGCATTTGGTGGAGGTTGATATTTTAGTAATTAGGGGATGTGTTGAAAAAAATGCATTGTATTAACTAGTGACATTAAAAGTAAAAAATCCAATCCATTTTTTTTTCTTTCTTGGTGGGACAGTTAAATAGTTAAGACCCTGTGAATACCCTGCAAACTGAATATGATATAACAGCCAAAGCTGCTGGATGTTCCTTGAATTTTTATCATGAATTTATCAATTGAATAAATATTTCTAAAACTTGCAAAACGTTGTCATTAATTGTACAATAAATAACTTAGAATGTTTCACACAAAGACAAACCTTACTCAAGTGCAATTTTCTTATATAACGTTTTCTTATTATTCAATTTGACCTGATGTAGAGTAAAAGAAAAACAATTACAGAGGCACTATTGTGTCATCAAAATAACCTTTATTTGTGTAGTTAAGAAAACTATCCATTATTTTTAAGACACATTTGTAATCCTCGTTCTTCCGCCATCTTCTCAACACTCCCACCTTAACGTAAACGCACACATGATGTTTCGCAGTGCAGTTTGTGGAACTGGACATGAAGCGGCGATGAGGACAGTGGCACAGCTCACACTCTCTCCATCTGTGCAGGTCAGGCCTCGTTTCTCTCTGTCTCACTCCAGACTGCCAGTGCCACCTTATCACTGCAGCCACAGCCTATAAATACCAACAGAAGATAGCAGGCATTCAGTCAGCTTTCCTCCTCTCTCGGGGGTCAGAAGGCTGATCTACAAATTTGTACATTTAGCTGAAGAAGCATTCATCTATAAACAGTCTCTGATACACAATCTACCATGAGTCAATCTGTCAAGGCTTGTTGGCAAACCATGTAAGATTTTGAAGCTGTTTGTTCCAAAACACTCCTTGAATCCTCTGCACTCCATGTATCCCAATGGGAACGGTCCCCATTCAGTAAAAGGCTATTTTCTGGCATGTCTGTGGGTTTCTCCTCTCATCGGAGGTCATGCATCTCTTAACTACTAAATGAATGAAAGGAATATCACAGAAAATAAAAGATGACTGAATAGAGGGGAAAAAAACAGAGAAAACTATTATCACCTTAGAAAGTAAACATTGGTTGCTTTTTTAATTCTAGTAACTTGCTTTTCCATCCTCATCTTAGCTTTTCTAGATATTTAACTAGCTCTGCTTGAATTCATTCTTAATGTGTTAATAAATGCGATTGCAAATACCTTAGAACAGAGAGAGAAGCTTAAAATAAGACATTTAAGGGTCAAAATGTGTTCAATGCAAAGTTTAAAGGTTTTCTATCTACATCATCAGCGCCTTAATATACTTTATATAGATAAAAACTAAATTCACTGAATATTACTGGTATAATAATAATAATAATAATAATAATAATAATAATAATAATAATAATAAGTGTTGTTAAACCAGGTGTCTCCGTTTATCGCTTTATTCGTTAAAGTTTTATCAATAGAGCCCAACGTAATTTATAAGTCAACTACATTGTATACTGAAATATGGAAAACATTTATCTCAAACTAACACCTTTGTGTGTCATAAGCTAAAAGTCGGGGCTTGTAGTAACCAACTGATTTATTAACAGACATTATTTTAATAGAACTTGTCTTCTAATGGAACGTTTTTTTCGAAATAAAAAGTGCGTAAGGTAGGCTAAATTTATCGTGACGAGGCAAACTTTTCGCGCGGTTTATGGATGCTAACTACTCGTAACTGCTAACGAGCACCTCATAACTTATTTGTCTGAAAATACCTATTAATGAAGGGAAATATTAAGATTCGAACGTCGAAACATTTCGTGATTTAATTCGTTATTTGTCAATTAAACGAGACGTGTAAATCAGTCATCTCCACAGCTGTTTGAGAGACAGTACACTGAATAATATCTGACAGCTCCCGGGGGGATTAAAAGGGTCAGTGTTGACATTACTACACACACTATTTTTCAATTAGCTGCTGAATAGCCTCGATTAGATCAACTTATCTTTAGGATCCCCACACCTGGACGCGCATCTCATCAGTGTCCTGATCGAAACGACGGCTGCTCGCAGACTCATCGCTAACAGATAGCCTACAGTAAGAACAATCTGCCTTTATCTTCAACTCATTCTCTCTGAATAGTGTCGGATTGATTGTGCAAGGGTGCTTGTTTTAAATTATTGATGTTGGAGTTTCTCCCCCTCATCTCTTCATATCCTATTACCGTGACAAATTGCCGTTCCCGTTCAAAACCTTTAATCCGTGGGAAAACATTTAGAAGGCAAAGTTACTATAAGTGTACAGTAGCCTACATTTTTACAGCATTAAACATCAAGTCGGAAGTACAGATTGAGTGCATGCAAATCATATATAATATTAAAAGTATACATTTATAAATACAGCTAATAAAATTAATTTAAATACTATCATTTTTTTACAGGTGTTCAGGTGCTGAGAGTTTTATAAGGACTTTAAGCCCAAATAAATAAATGTTGGTTGAACAATGACATTTAAAAAAGAGACATAAAAACCAATAAAACCATTTATATTGCCGTTTTAAAATAACTGAAATATGGTTAACAAAAAAGATCATTAAAATAAGAATGGAGCTGATTAATGCGCATTTTATTTCATTCGCGTTTGTATACTGATTTACAGCTCTTTGTTAGAAAAGAATATGAAAAAAAAGAAACCGCAAGTTAACATTTTTTGTTGAGAAAATGTGAGGAATCAAACTTCTAATATGCATTCAACTTTTCTGACTAAAATATATTACTGAAGAAGAATACTTTGACAAGATAAAAACTAGCAAAAGCTGATCGAGGCAAGAGCTGAATTGGTTGTTGCAAATTAAATAAATGTAAACAAAGATGTTTTTGCCTGATGAAAACAGTTTGCTGGTTAAGTGTATAAAACTATACTTAGGGGTAATATACAATTTAATCAACCACAAATTGTATAAAAAAGCATGAAGGTACAATAGGTATAACACTTGTTGCATTTAGACGGAGCAAGAGACTTAATCGCTGAAGGGGAAATGATGGGGTCAGCATCACACAACACAAAAGCTCAGGGGACCGAAAAAACTTCAGCGTGTGGGTGTTTGTCTGTGTGTGATCATAAAGGAAACACATAAATCACAGATTTTACTATTAGTGTGTGGTGCTTGTTATTACGACAAGCCTGATTTTACTTCAGTCGCTATTGATGAGATGTTTGCAAAACACAATTAAAAATGTATAATCATTCAGTAGGCTATAAAATAACACAGACAAGCATTCAGTGTTAAACTCGTGGCTTGAAAAAAGGTATATTTATATTGAGAGAAAATACTAGGGTTTTCGCACA